ATTGTCCCTGAAACAATAAATACTGTTCTTGGATTGAAGAAGCAAATGCATTTGATGAAAATGACAAAGCATCTCTCAAATGCAGCAGGCCAAAAATAGAACATAAATGAAGTGGCAGAATGTCAACCCTCCATTTCCAAGACAGACCAGGTCTAACATCTGAATAGCAATGTCCAGAAACAACAGTGTGGCAATGCAAGGTAGATGGTCAGAAAGGAAAGCTGAAGAATTTCAACCAAATGTAGACTCCCACAACTCAATAAGCTTTTCAGTTCTATAAATTCTGAACATGGAGCCTTTAAGACAGGCCCCACACCATTGCTCACAGCCAATGGGTCATTCTTGATCAAAGATAGGTAGAAATAAGACAAAGATCAGCAGAACAGTTCAGCAGCCTCTGATTAGATCAACCACCATCAATTTCTCAGCATTCAACTCGAGTCCTCAGTGATCAGTCATTGATGAGCTTGCCTTGCTTTCTTTTGTTGATGAAATTAAGAAAGCCATAAAGCAGACAAACATGGGCAAGATTTCAGGAAAACATGGAATCTCAGTGGAAATGTTTAAAGTGGCAAGCACAGACACAGCCTCTTGCGCATATGGAATGATGGCAGCAGTGGGGTAAGCATCATTTGGCTCCTAAACGCAGGGTTCATCCGCTCATGGCTCACGTGGCAGGTTCTGCAGCATCCACACAGCTTCATCGCATTCCAGCTTGGTAACTGTTTTTTTTGTTTTGGTTGCCCTTGGGCCTCCTCCTAATGTCCGCCTGCAGGAGGCCAGGGCCCTGTCTATCTCCATCCCCGCTGCAACGTGGGTGGCAGCATCAGAAGATGAGTCAGGACAAGTGAATGTCGAGCATCAGAGGAGTTACAGGACATGTGCAGTGTGACTGTTGTGAGCTCAGAGGCAGTGAGCATATTGTCAGGGCACAGGGGACGACATTGAACAGCAGTGACTGGAGGAGCAGAGAGGGTGAAGTCAACAAAGACAGAAAGGTGAACTTTTGAAATTGTTTCAGATTTAGTATTATATATTAATTTATTTATATATGTTTATTTATAGTAAATTAATTTAATATTAATTTATTCAGTACTTTACCATGTATATAATTTATTCAGTAATTCATTCTGTAATCCAAGAAGGTGCCAGAACATGGCAACATTATCCACTTTTCGCTGTACCTAGGTACAAGTGACAATATATTAAATAAATAAAAGTAATCTAATGAATAGAACATGCCAATTAACTTTTGCAATGCCATGGTTGTTGCTCCACACAAAAACAAAGGCAACAAAGCAGAATGTGACAACTACAGAGCTATGTCACTTCTGTCCACAGCAGGAAAGATCTTTGCTCGTTTCATTGCGAACAGACTTAACAATGCGGCAGAAACAAATTTATTGAGGCTGAGTGTGGCACCTACGTCACAACAGTTGTGGTGTTTACAGTGAGACAAATCCAGGAAAACCGCCTCAAGCAGAGCATGTCCTTTACTTTGTGATCAACCTAGCAAAGTCCTTTGACTCAGTCAATAGAGTGATCCTCTGAACAATCCTGGAACGGCATGGTCGCCCAAAAAGTGCGTCAAGATCATACAACTGTTCCACAACAGAGTGACAGGCCAAGTGCTTTTAAATCACATATCATTAGTTCCCTTTGAGATGTCAAATGGAGTGAAGCAGGGCTGTGTTGTCGCACCAGTCCCCATTAATCTGTTCTTCACTTGTCCACCTTAGCCATACCATCAAGGATCCCAAACATAGACTGTACCTCTGGCATCATCTTTAATTTATGTATCGGAACAAACACCAAAACTTCTGTGAAAATCTTCCAGGAAGTCATTTTTGCCAATGGTTGCACTCTAATGATTTACAAAATGAGAGATTTACAGATTATGGTTGATAGATTTTCGGACGTTTTTGGATTGATCAGTCTTGGAAAGGTTTCCTTACAAGTCCTTGCCAAATTTCAGCACAATTCAACAAGACATCGCCTTGATGATACAAAGTTAAAGAATGCCAATAGCTCTACATACTTTTATCCACAACTATGGTTTGCTTGATAAATTGACATGAACTAGGATCTAAGAGAGAGCCAAGTACTCAGGAGGCTTCATACCAGAGCGCTAAACCACCACAGAATAGACTGCCTTTTAAGTTAAGATGTACTTGTCTGTAAGTTATATAAATTCTTTTATGAGATGTAGGTGTCACTGGCTGGGCCAACATTTATTGCCTTTCCCTAGTTGCCCTTGAGAAGGAAATAGTGAGCTGCCTTCTTGAACTGCTGCAGTCCCTGTGGTGTAGGTAGACTCACAATGCCATTAGGGAGGGAGTTGCAGGAATTTAAACTAGCGACACAGGAAGAAATCGATTTCTAAGTCAGGATGGCGTGTGGTTTGGAGGGGAACTTGCAGGTGGTGGTGCTTGAATGTATTGGTTGCCCTTGTCCATTTAGATGGTAGTTTTCCTCGTTTGGAAGGTGCTTCTAAATAACCTTGGAGGATTCCTGCAGTGTTCTTGTGGATGGTACACTGCTGCTGTTGAGAGCTGGTGTAGAAGGGAATCAATGTGAGTGGATGTGGTACCAATCAAGCACGCTGCCTTGTGTGGGATGGTGTCAAACTTCTTGAATGCTGTAGGAGCTGTACTCATCCAGGCAGATGGGGAATATTCCATCACACTCCTAAATTGTGCCTTGTAGATAGTGGACAGGATTTGGCTCTCCAATGCCCAGAGCAGTCATAAAAGTTAAAATATTTTAAAATGTGCGCAGAATTTCTCAATTTACCTGTTTTTTAGACCTAGGTTGACAGAGGAAAGAAATTGGCCCGGTTCCTTAACTTAAAAACGAAAATTTATTGCAAATAAAATGAATCAAACTACAGACAAACAATTATGAACTGTCAACATATAACTACCAATTAAAGCTGTAAACCACTTCTAGACTCCCTCTTTACACACATATATAGGCAGACAAAAGAAATGGGTGTTCTGGGTGGAAGGAAAGACTGAGAAGGTAGTTCAGTGGCCCCTGCCCGAAGGTTTGCCAAGATGCACCTTTTGCTGTTAGAAGTTTGAGAAGCAGCGTTCTTTCTCCAAATACATTCACTTGTTTGTGGGAGGCATAAGGTGACTGCTCACATATAAGGTCCAGCTTACAGCAACTTATTTCACAGTGGTAATGACACAGGAGGACCAGGTTCAAGTCCCTTCTGGTCCAGCAGTATGCAATAACATCTCTCGGTTGAAGAAAAAAAACAACTACAATCAAGGGGAAATAAAGTGGCTACCTTCAGGCTCCAGGTGCATTTCACTACAGTTATTTCCTCCCAGAAGTCGGAAGGCTTCTCCTCCGAGTATTCACACCCTCGAGCAGTCCAGCTACTCAGAAGTCAATCACAAAGTTGTTCGCGATGGGAGGCCTTTGTCTTTGATAACTGGACACAAGCCAACAGACCAATCAGCTACTTGTTACCAATGGAAACTCCTCCTTCAGATGCAAACCCCTGGCTTCAGTACATTTTCTAAGTAGGCTTTTCAATTAACAGCTGTGTAAATAGCCATTATAATGAGTGTTAGGCAACTTGCCTTTAAAAGCGCACAAAACCTTCAACGATCCTTGGTTTTTGTGCCAGTCATAGAGTCATACAGCAAGGAAACAGACCTATCGGTTCAACCAGTCCATGTCGAACATAATCCCAAACTAAACTAGTCCCATCTGTCTGCTCCTGGCCCATATCCCACCAACCTTTCCTATTCATTTATCCATCCAAATGTCTTTTAAACATTGTAACTGTATCCGCTTCCACCACTTCATCCAGAAGTTCATTCCACACGCGATCCACCCTCTGTGTAAAAAATTTGCCTCATGTCTTTTTCATTTCAGTCCACTATCTAAACTACAGAAAAACAAAAAGTCAGTCTTTAAAGTAATGTCTACAAGCATATTCAAACATTCAGGGCAGAACAGCATTGACTCAGTTCATTACTGGACTCTTCCACAATAGGTGTATTGACTGCTGTAAATGCTACTAACATTGCAACAAACTCAAGCTCACTTTGAAAGTATCTTCCAATCAATGATTTCCATCACCAAGAGAGAAAAAAAATAGCAAGGTCATGGAACACTTATCTGCAAGCAATCCCTATCCACACCTAACAATGTTCAACAATTCCTTCACATGCACTAGATTAGCATGCTCAGCTACTTGTTGCCAGTTGAATTTCAAGGTGGTGGTCAATAAATGACTTGTATAAAGGCAAAATACTGTGGGATGCTGGACATCTGAAATAAAATATGGAACCCGAAAAACCCAGCAGGTTCTTAGTCATATTAGACTCAAAACGATAACTTTGTTTCTTATTCCACAAATGCTGCCAGACCTGCTGAGCACAGCACTTTCTGTTCATAAAGGCAACGTCGCTAGTAGCAGTCACAATAAAGGTATTTAGCAAAATTCTCTTGCTAAGCCTAACGTCAAACTGCTTTGCAATGCTCCATTTGCACTTGTTAAGACTGTTTACAAAATTCTACAAAGTTGCAAAATATCTTTTTAGAAATTCCCGTGCGATTAGGGAAAGTGCTGCATGCAGGAGGAGCGCTCTCTCCCTCCATCTCCTGGGGGAGTGGACAGAGCCCCAGGCCCCGCTCTCCACCGGATGGGGGATAGCAATGGTGCAGACAGAGGGGCAGGACCCAGGCTTCTCCTTGGGGGAGAAGGGGAAGTTACGGTGCGCTCAGAGTGCAGTCTCGGGCCTCTCTCCCTCGGGGAAAGGGGAGCCCCCCGGCCTTTCCCTGCCCCTCGGGTTAGGAGGCCAATCCTCTCTTTCCAGGCCATGCTGCTGCCTGTCGGGCCGCTGCCTGCCCCGTCCGTTTAAAATGTCCGACAGGCCGCCCCCCGCCGCTCCCGGGGGAGCGAGTGGAGAGTTTGATTCGCTCTGAGCCCCCGGAGAAAAGCCGCCAAGTTGCGTTACGTACTTCATTCCCCATCCTACCTGGAGTGAGGAGGCGAAGACTCAGCAGAGGAGCGGAGGCCATCGTGTGGTGATCAGAGGAAGATGTCCCGGCGGCTGAGCCTGCGCTTTTTGGAGGGCGGTGGGGGGAGAGAGCATAGGGCAAAGGGGTGGGAAAGGAGTGATCATTGTGGGG